AGCTGAGGGGGCTGAGGGGCTAGGGGCTGAAGGGCTGGGAAGCTGAGGGGCTGAGGAGCTGAGGGGCTGAGGAGCTGAGGAGCTGATCGGACCGTGAGCAGTGGGGCCCCCAGCTGGTTTGGGACCGGACTGGGACCGGGGCGGCCCTCACCCGGCACAGGCGGTTCTTGGCGGCCGAGCTGCTGCCCTGGGAGCCTCGGTGTCCTCACCCCAACGCGTGCGCGCCTGGCCCGAGCTGGCCTCCAGGCCCCGCACTGACCCGCGCCCCCCGCAGGCGTCAGCTGCATGGTGGCCAAGCTCGCCCGCGCCTGCACCCTGCGCATCCGCCTCCGCCTCCTTACCCCAGCCCCTGGCCCCGCGCCGCCCCCGGAGAACTTCTTCAGCGAGTTCCAGATGGAAGGCGTCTCCGAGGACAGCAATGCGATCTACGTGGAGCTCGCGGCCGAGAACCTCTCTCGCGCCCCGAAGACCGCGCAGAACGCCCGGGCCTTGGAGGTCAAGCTGACCAACAAGCACTTCCCCTCCTGTCGGTGTCCGGTGTCCGTAGAGCTGGTGAGGAGGGGCCCTGGCCGGGCAGTGGCTGCAGCAGGGGCGGGGGGTCATGGCAGCGGGGCCGGCAGGGCAGGTGCCCCCGTGACCTGCACACCGTGCGTGCGATGGCTCCGTGGGAACGGAGAGCCCCCACGCGGCGTGGCAGGCGGGCTTCCTGTCCGCCCCTCAGGCCCGCCGGTTCCTCGCAGGTGTCTGTCGAGCGGTAGCCGCATGTGACCCACGACATCCCGTGAAGGTCACTCCCAGGAAGCCGTGGAGGAACCTGCAGGAGCCACAGTCCCAGACGCTGATGTGAGTGATGGCAGCCCGTCGCTCCGCACGTGTCCGGTGCCGTCATTAACTCCCCGATGTCAGCACGGCTTGCGTCTGCTTGTTGGAAAGCGGTGCTCCTTTCTAAAGGCTGCTGCAGGAGGAACGGGGCATGTGCCATAAAGACCCTCAGTCAGCACGGCGTGTGGCAGAAACGCGGTGGAGAGGGAGTGTCCGCCCAGGGACGGCCGAAGCCCTTCGAGTTCCTGCCGGGTGGTGGCCGCGGGCACCAGTGTGGGTCACAGAGGGACGCTGCCATGTCGGTGAGGAGCGATGTCCGGCGGTGACAGCCAGCAGGGAGGCCCTTCCGCTCTGCTGACTGGTCCTGGGGCAGGGACTATGGTGATGCCCAGGCTCCTTTGCCTCCTGCTCACACTGCTGGAAGGAGGGGGATGGAGAGGGAATTCTAGAGGGGCCCCTCCGGGGAAGCAGCAGGGCACCAGGCGCAGTGGGAACCGTCTGACGCCGGTGCAGGCACCTCCCCTCCTTGCATTTCTGGGTGGAAAGGCCTGAGTCTTGGGCATCCCTCAGGACTGCCGTGTCCCTGGTGCATGAAGGCCTCTAGCTGAAGGCGGGTCCTGGAACCAGAAGTGCCACAGGGACCGGTCGCCGAGGTAACCAGAGGCAGAAGTGAGCTAGTGAAACTCTGATAGTTTTTATTTTCATATTTTAAAAAGAACTTTATTCAGACAGTTTAAAAACCCAGGATTCTGGAGCTTTTAAGCTTCCACGCATTCCAAACCTAGGTAGTGAGCGGGCACCTGCCGGCACTTGCTGTACGGACATTCTCATGCTCTGGTTTTCTCGTTGGGCTTGTAGGTGAGCATTTATCTGCCGGTCTCGAAGACGATGAAGAGCGTTGTGGAAAAAATGAAAATATCAGCAATCAGCTTGTAAGTCACAACTTCTTTAGCAAAGAGCTCTGAAGTGTTTGCTGTGGGCGGCACGCCTGCCCGAGGTGTGGGTACCCTGGCACTCATCTTGCGGGGTCCCCTCATTGTGGTGGTTGAGAGCTACAGCTTCCCAGGTGCCCTGGGGAACCTGCCCGGGTGCTCTCCGGGGCTCCCTGGGGCGAGCGTTCACATCGGCCTCCTGCCTGTGTTTATACTCACAGTAGATTCAACACGTTCAGCCGCTCTGGCTTCCTCCCTTACGCTCGGAAAGACATTGCACATCTGCTAACGTCTGTGTTTTATGAGGTGCTGGTTTTGGCAGTGAGTTGAGTGTCCCGTGAGCCCAGGCCACAACGTCTCACTCTAAGCCAGTGATGGCGAACCTTTTGAGCTCGGCGTGTCAGCATTTTGAAAAACCCTAACTTAACCCTGGTGCCGTGTCACATATAGAAATTTTTTGATATTTACAACCATAGTAAAACAAAGATTTATATTTTTTTTAAATTTTTTTTAAAAAAATATATTTTATTGATTTTTTACAGAGAGGAAGGGAGAGAGATAGAGAGTTAGAAACATCGATGAGAGAGAAACACCGACCATCTGCCTCCTGCACACCCCTACTAGGGATGTGCCCGCAACCCAGGTACATGCCCTTGACCGGAATCGAACCCGGGATCTTTCAGTCCGCAGGCCGACGCTCTATCCACTGAGCCAAACCGGTTTCGGCAGATTTATATTTTTGATATTTATTTCATAGATTTAAATGCCATTTAACAAAGAAAAATCAACTAAAAAAATGAGTTCGCGTGTCACCTCTGACACACGTGTCATAGGTTCGCCATCACTGCTCTAAGCACTCTCATGCCAAGTAGATGGCGCGTGGCTGTTCTGTCTGTCTTTGTGGCGGCCCACTGTGCAGCGGGACATGGCACCGCGAGGGGCAGCGGGCATTGTGTGGAGGAGCCTCAGTGTCAGCTGGTTCTCCTGAATTCTTCCTCCACTCAACCAAAGCACCTGTCATATGTCCCTGAAGCTTTTAAAAACCACTGCCCACCCAATGAAACATAAACTTTTGATTTTCACCCTCTGCCAGTCCTCGTCCTTGTCACCTGGCCACACCCTACCTGCAGGACCACCCTCAAGGCGCACCCTTCCCCCAGTGCCAGCTCATTCCCGGTTCTTTCTCCCCATATCGCCCTGGAAAGCACTTAGCTCCCAGACTTCTCCCATTGCCAGGGGTCCTTCCGACCGTCCTCCGAGCCGCTCGGTGCTGCCTGGTAAGTTCCCTGCTGGTGTCTCAGGACCCTGCCGACCTGCTGGCTCCTGGGAAAGGGAACTGTCTCAGCACCAGCCCCTGTGGGACGGCACTCAGTGGGCCGTTGGCGTGCTGGCCGGTCCTGGAGTGGAGGTTGGCTTTTAGAGCTCTTTGGAATTGCAGAGGTTTTCTGAAACCTGGAAAAGGTTCATGGGCCATTTCATCTCTACAGTTGTGTCCAGTTAAGAGTAATTTTCTTTCATGGCTTAGTCTCAGAGCTCATTTAATTGACAGTTGGCTTCGGGCGAAGCAGTGAGAGCCGTGCTGACATGTGCTCCGTGCCTGCCTACCGTTGGGCTGTCCCTGGGAGCTTCCTCTGGGGACGCCCTGGGGGCCTCGGGAGAGCTTCCAAGCCTGAGAGAGGCAGGGCAGCCGTCTAAGGACCCATGATTCTCTGTGCAGGGCCGAGCCAGCAGGAGCCTCGATAGAGGCCCGGAGCACTCGGAGCCTCCCCTGCGGGATCTCTGAGCTCGCTCCCGCGTTCCCTCCCCTCATAACCCAGGGTGCTGTCCCCTTCCCTGTGACTTCTCCCGGCATTTCTCCTGTGAGGGAGCCAGCCTCCCAGGCCTCGCCCACCAGCCTCCACCTGTTCACCTGTCCCCGCCGAGGTCTCTGCTCTGAGGGCTCCTCCCTGCGGGGTGTTCCGAGTCCCTGTCCTCTGGCCCGTCTTCTCTCTGTTGCCATGCCATGCGGGTCCTGGTGCTGTCAGGAGGGAGCTGGGGGTTTGTAGGCTCCCTCGTCACCCGGTATGGAAGCTGACGTTTGTGGTGGATTTTTACTTTATTTTTTTTGCTTTCCTTTTCTTTTTTAAGACTTTGTGAAATACTCCACTTGCAGATTATTGAAGCAAACCTCAATGGAGACTTGAACCTGAAAATAGAGTCGGAACTAGTGTGCGTTACAACTCACTTTAAAGATCTTGGGAATCCGCCATCAGGTAGGTTTTCTGGTAGATTGTGTTTTGCTTCTGAGAAGTTGTTTCACACCTTCCTGAGGCCTCTGAATGAACGGGAAGAGGTTGAAATTCGGGAGACCGTTCTATGCTTGGGGAGACAGGCGACAGGCTGGCTTACGTGCTGCTGGATGGACAGTGGCGTGGAGAGACGGGCCTCCTGGGCATGAGTGTGCCTGGCTCGAGGGTGGGCTCAGGGTCTGGAAACGTGGCGCCATCCCAGCTCTTAAATCCCTGTTTCTGCGACTAAAGGTGGCACGTTCCCACCTGGAGCGCAGTTGGAAGGTAGATGACGGTTCTCCTTCCCTCCTCCTGGGTCTCTAACACTTAGAGCACTAGATGAGCCAATGCGGACTTTTCTCAGGTGAGCAGATTGCCTGTCTCCTGCGAGGTGCTAGGCCACGGAATCAGTTCAGAGAGTGGTGAGCACGGCTGATGGATGGATTGGAGGCCTGTGCTGCAGTCACAGTGTGGGTGGGGCGGGTGGAGGGGGAGAGGCCAAGGACCTGGGGAATGCGTTTGCTAGTGACCTGAAACCCTTTCAGGCACGCATGTGTCCCAAACAGTTATGCTGGGCCCTTCCACTTTCAGAATTGGTATGTCTCACCCCAGGGTTGCTGTGCACATTTTAGCATCGCTCTGGGGCCGGGCCTTCACAGTGGAGGGTGCTGGGGGAGAGTGAGGCCCATGTGGTCCAAGCTTTGGTAATGCTGAGGGAGAGGACTTCTTCTGGTCTGCCTCATTGTGTTCGTTTTAATAAACAAGAAAGAGGGTTTTCTTACCTTGATGCTTTCCATGGTTGAAAGGACTCTTTCCGCTCTGGAATGAGAGGCCTTGATTAGCCGTCCAGAAGCGTACGAAGCGTTAACTATACACGTGTACTAAGGGATGCCGTCTCCTTGGACCTAAAGGGGGAGATTGGGTCATGTTTCAAGGCCCTGGAAATGAAGATTTCCTGGAAATTGACATCGTATTTCAGAGTCAGGATTTAATAAGTTCTTGCTTAACAAAGGGTCCTATCTCCATCTTGCACTATTTGTCCAGTAAGCTAACATCAGGGTAACGCAGCTCATTTATTTAAGCAAACAGTCTGCTTTTACATCTAGCTGTTCCTGTCATTTTAGCCTCTGAAAACGAGTCTGAGGACCGCAGCCCAGAGCAGATGGCGGAGGTGCAGGTGGACATCAGGAAGTTCCTGCAGTTTCTTGCTGGACAACAAGTGAATCCCACAAGGGGCGTCTGCAGTGAGTGTGCCTGGAATTGTTTTCACATTTCACACGCTTGAGTCACCTGTGGTCTCACAGCTGGTTTGTGGTCTCGTAAATGCATGGCGGCTGGGTCACGTGGCCTCTGATTTTCCAGGGCCGGCAGATGATTGGGATTTCCCCGGGTTCAGAAGTAACAGAGGTGGGGCTGTGCTGTCTCACCGGGCGTCAGGCATGGTCTCTGCACCCAGAGGGGCTGCGGAAGAATGCGCTGACCGTCCTGTTAATCTGACCTGACATCTGAGCTGACATATGGGCAGCCCTGACATCATCTGGCTTGGATTTAGGTTCCCCTCACGATGCCTAGGCTTCTTCCTGTGTCTCAAGCTGACGTCTGTGTCCTCTTGACCCCTCCCTTGGCTCTGGTCGGCCCGTCCTCAGCAGCACACCTGCCTCAGCAGCATGCTCGTTCCCTGTACCTGAGGAAGGGCTGACTTGTCTCCTTGCCGCTGACATCACAGCCCCTGAAAGGAGACTGACTTTGCTTGGAAGTGCTTCTGTCTTCCACGTCTTGTGGTCATGGGTCCTGGCTGCTGGGTCCTCTCGCTCTGCCATCACTCCTCGTCTGAGGCGCTCCATCTGCCTGTGCCTCTGCGTGAAGTTTGCCCTGTACCTGGCGGTGCCTGACCTTGCCTTCGCAGACCATCCCATGGGGGCTGGGCGTTCCTGGAGCAGACGTCACCTTCAGTGGGTCCAGGATTCAGGGATGAGCCCTGTGCGCAGAGGCTCCATAGTGATGGGTGTTTTCTGTCCCCAGATATCGTGAGTCACAAGATGGTGCACTTTGACCTGCTCCACGAGGACATGTCCCTCCAGTATTTCATCCCGGCCTTGTCCTAGCACTGCCAACTGCACGGGGCCCGGAGACCATTGCCATGACCGGAGAGGCACGGGGTGATGTGCTCAGTCATTTGTCAATATGTCCTCACAGCAGCACAAATTCTGTACGTTTCCCTTATTTTTCCCTCCATGATAATTTAACTAGAAATTAAATTAATGAAATAGTTGAATAAACATGTTACTTCATATTATTGTAACTGGGTAATCAATGGGTCTGCACTGCCTGTCACTACTTGAGCCAATTAAGCAGAGACAGGGTTGAATCATATATGAGCATTTATTCCAGTCCTGCTGACAGTACGGGAGAGCAGCAGGTCATCCACAAAAATCTGCCCCCACCATAAACCAGCTGCTTATATTGGGTAGAAGGATGAAGATTACATGGGGAAGTAGGCAAAAGGTATGCCAAATGGGCAGTTCACAGGTAATGCAGGCTGGAGATTTGCAAAGGCCTGCGGGTATGCAAAGGCCGGGAGTATGCAAAGGGCTGTCAGCTCTGGTTTCTGCAACAAGGTTGTTAATCTTTCCATGATAATAGGAGCTCTGGGATGGGGAGGAGGGGCCGCATTTGCAGGTGAGCTCCCAGGTAATGAGTGCAACTCCCAGCCGGGATAGAATGTGCCCTCTTTAATCAGAGTGAAACAATCAGTTAACAGAGCATGATTAATATTTCTTAAAATTATAGCTGGTCCTCAGTATTCTATTTCTGTCCCTATCATTTCCCCACTGCTATTTTTACCATCTCATATCTATGAGATTTGTTTTAGATGAAAAATCTCATCCTGCCAGACTGCATTTGCTTCTGCCTTGATAGCAGTTCTTGGGGATGGAATACAGGGTCTCAAAATAGGAAGAGATTGAATATAGCGGCAAGCTATCAGACTACAAAAAATAAACAGGAGAAAAATTTAAGAGAATTCCCAATCCCAAACAGGTTAGGTAGCCAGGAAGTTAGGTTGGTTAAGTCAAATCCATAAAAAACACAAAACAAACCTTGTGTTTTACTTTGGAGATGGTTTCCCTAATTTGTTGAATGTTGTTTTCTATCTAGAATTGTCAGAAAGATTAAGACAGCACAGTCCTTTAAATTCCTCACAATCATGGTTATGCCGCAACAGTAAGTAATCTATTGCTGTCCAATTCTCTAGAACTGTGTCCCTCACCTGGCTCAGCTCTTGATTTGTCCCCTGTATAGCCCTGGAAGTGGCATTCAGTGCCTTTACCCTGCTACAGGCTAGCCGGGTCACTTCTACATTAAGGGGCCTACCATTGTTGGGAAAATTGGACAGATACATGCAAAAAAATGAAACTAGACCACCAACTTACACCATACACAAAAATAAACTCAAAATGGATAAAGGATTTAAATGTACGACGGGAAACCATAAAATACTAGAAGAATCCAAAGGCAACAAAATCTCAGCCATGTGCCGAAGCAATTTCTTCACCGATACAGCTCCTAGGGCATTGGAAACTAAAGAGAAAATAAACAAATGGGACTACATCAAAATAAAAAGCTTCTGCACAGCAAAGGAAACCATCAACAAAACAACAAGAAGGCTCACTGCATGGGAGAACATATTTGCCAACGATATCACCGATAAGGGTTTAATCTCCAACATTTATAGGGAACTCATACAACTTAACAAAAGGAAAATAAACAATCCAATCAAAAAATGGGCAAAGGACCTAAATAGACACTTTTCAAAAGAGGACATTCAGAAAGCCAAGAGACATGAAAACATGGTCAAAGTCACTAATCATCCGAGAAATGTAAATCAAAACAATGAGGTACCATCTCACACCTGTCAGAATGGCTATCATCAACAAATCAACAAACGACAAGTGCTGGAGAGGATGTGGAGAAAAAGGAACACTCGTGCACTGCTGGTGGGAATGCAGACTGGTGCAGCCACTATGGAAGACAGTATGGAGTTTCCTCAAAAAACTAAAAATGGAACTCCCATTTGACCCCGTGATCCCACTTCTAGGAATATATCCCAAGAAAACAGAAACACCAATCAGAAAGGACATATGCACCCCTATGTTCATAGCAGCACAATTCACCATAGCTAAGATCTGGAAACAGCCTGAGTGCCCATCAGTAGATGAATGGATTAGAAAACTGTGGTACATCTACATGATGGAATACTACGCTGCTGTAAAAAAGAAGGAATTCTTACCATTTGCAACAGCATGGATGGAACTGGAGAGCATGATGCTAAGTGAAATAAGCCAGTCAATGAAGGAAAAATACCACATGATCTCACTTCATTTATGGATAATAAAGACCATTATAAACTTATGAACAAAAATAGATACAGAGGCAGAGCAGCCTCCAACAGACTGTCAAACTACAGCAGGAAGACCAGGGAGGGTTGGGGGGCGGGAGGGGGGAGGTAAGAGATCAACCGAAGGACTTGTATGCATGCATATAAGCATAACCAATGGACATAATACATTGGAGGGTAGGGGAGGCCAGGGGATTGTCAAGGGTGGGGAAAAAAAAGGAGACATATGTAATACTCTTTGTAATACTTTAAGCAATAAAACAATTTAAAAAAAGGGGGGGCCTACCATTACTGGCACAACAAAGATGGTTAAAGCAATATAGTCAGCAGGGCTCCACAGGGGGAGGTGGTCATTGCAGTCTGGTGCCACGGCCGTGAGAAGGTCTCTTCTGGTTTGGACCCTGTTATGTTTCTGGGGCATAAAGACTGTAGTTGTGCTAAGGAACAAGGCCCCTCGTGTTGTTGGCAGGGATATATGAGTAAACAGTCACCCCACATATCAGAAACCAGCCGGCCGGCAGCTTAGTATGTCCATTACTATAAGGGAGGGTGAAGTTATCAGAACAATTCATATTGTAGTTATTAATACTGAAAGACAATAACTAGAACACCCAGTAAAAGACATCCCACACAGGAAGCCACTGCAGCAACTTTTATTTATTTTTTTAAAAATATATTTTATTGATTTTTTTACAGATAGAAAGGGAGAGGGATAGATAGTTAGAAACATCGATGAGAGAGAAACATCGATCAGCTGCCTCCTGCACACTCCCTACTGGGGATGTGCCCACAACCAAGGTACATGCCCTTGACCGGAGTCGAACCTGGGACCCTTGAGTCTGCAGGTCGATGGTCTATCCACTGAGCCAAACCGGTTAGGGCAAGCAGCAACTTTTAAAGAAAACATCCCTGCACCCTTTTCCCAGACAGTGGGTCCCAACATATAAAAGTCCCCATATGTGACTTTCTTCCCAAAATGAATAGAATAATTTTTACATATTAGCAATAGTTGTCCCATTAGGCAAAATGTAAAGGTCCATCTGCATAGGTTCCTCCACAGCCAGCGTCAGTGCAGTGGAAGTGGTGAGAAGCATGTTTCAGGGTCCCGTCCATTTCTCCTCCGGTTGGCCCATTGTCCTTGCTCTGCTCATTCTGTCTAACTGCCTACCACATCTTCCCCACAAGGATCTTGGCTCTGAAATCTTTCATGGGAAAGGGACCTAGGTTCTCTTCAGAAACTACTTCATGTTGAGGAGGGACAAAGTTTTGTTTCAGAGTCAAGAGATCCTTGCTCTCTGTCAGAAGGACAATGAGGCCTAGGCACAGAAGGAGGTGGCAATGGTGTCTAGAGGTGGCTTCCTTGAGTACAAGTAGGGCTTGTAATCTGGTGGAGACGAACTGTGTTACAAAATTTAGTATTACTGGGCAAAAGTTAGAATAGCAAGAATTACAACAAATAGTCTGGTGAAAGGAAAAAACATTTCAGTTCTAATAATTCCCTATTGAAACACATTTTCCCCCTAAAGTCACCCTCATTTTTATTAAAGAGCCAAATTAAGACCAATTTATTTACTGTATTAAGTCTAGTTACAATTTAGCTTGATTGCATGAACACAATAAAAATAACAATTGATCATATAGACTTTTAAAAAAGTGCTTTGTTGGAATCTCATGATTTAGCTTTACTTAGCCCTACAAGGCAAAGAAGCTGAGCCACCTAGCGGCCATCAGGCTTGCCTGCAATACCTGTAGACTTGGGTGAATTCCTTGAGTTGAGGTCCCCAATGATGTCTTGAGGTTCCTTCCTTGCCATTTCTCAGGAAAGCAGCCTTTCTGCTTTACCTGGAAAGACTGCGTGAACCAGGTGACCAACAAGGGACCAAGTTTTCTCCAGGGGCTTTTATTGGCCTCATTCCTTAAAGCTTTCTGGGGACACCCAGAGTCCAGGCATGTTAGATATGACATTCCTAAGTCTGTTAATAAAACCACAATTGGAAACTGGTTCTTATTGAATTCATGCAAAAGAACGTATTGCTGTGACTTACTGATTAAGAATTGCCAAATTCTGGAGGGATCAAGTAGGGAGAAAAATACATAATTTACCATTTGCTTTCAAAATGCTTCATTATATATGAAAAACAAAGTTTAAGAATCAGCAATACTTTTAACAAAAGTTACAAAAGCTATATAATTATTTTCAGTTCATTCAGTCCCATAATCAATTTTTGTTTCTCCTGATTTTTCCTGCCAGTACTTCTGTAAATCCTATTCTATAGAGCAAGCAGAGCATATCAGTAACCAAAGTTAGGTTACAGACAGACAGGAACCCTCACTAGCTAAGAGTTTCCAGCGGCTGATGCCTTAGTGGGAAAGCAAGGAGGGTCCCCTGAGTAAGAACTCTGAGCAGCTGCTGGGACGGTCCTGCAATCCTTGCCACGGGTTCCGCCTGCCGCCAGCAGGGGGCTCCCCAGAGTGAGATGTGCCCCATCGTTAACAAACCAAACAACAAAAGACACAAAACAACAGCAGAGACACTCTGTACAGTATTTACAGGCGCGCACAACCCACAGACAAGAGCTTCACACCATGCTCCTTGTCTGTCCAGCCACGGAAACCTCAGGATGCCCTGCATAGAAACAACCACTGAAGCAGAGCAATGTTTCTCATCCCAGAGTAGATCAGACTAAGGGCTCGGAGACCAGGCAAGGACCACTGGAGGTCTCTTGCCACACAGCTGATCAGGCTCGCCCAGACGGGAGGCAGTAAAATACCTTCGGTGCCATACACAGTGCATACTTCCTTACAAAGAAGCGCAGAGAGAGGCAGCTCCTGTGTCCCCTGCTGTTCAAACAGGCTTGATTCCTCCTCCTGTCATACAAACACGCTTGATTCCTCCTCCTGTCATACAAACACGCTTGATTCCTCCTCCTGTCATACAAACACGCTTGATCCAACTTAGGTCTTAGGTGAGACGGGATTGCTGAGGCTGCAGCTGGGACTCAAAACAGGACAATACCTGGCAGTGCTGCAAATAAGAGTCCAGGCCTCAGCCCCAGGAACCCCCAGTCCAGGCAGCGGGATCCCCAGTACCCACCCCAGAGGAGTCCCTTGCTTACGTCCCTTCGTGGTTGCCAGAATATGTAACCAGACAATCAGTGGGTCCACGCTGTCTGTCACGACTTGAGCCAATTCAGCAGAGACAGGGTTGAGTCATATGAACATTTATCCCAATACTGCTGGCAGCATGGGAGAGCAGCAGGTCACCCACAAACATCTGCTCTGCCTCCACCATAAGCCAGCTGCTTATACTGGGTAGAAGGATGAAGATTACACGGGGAAGTAGGCAAAAGGTATGCCAAATGGGCAGTTCACAGGTAATGCAGGCTGGAGATTTGCAAAGGCCTGTGGGTATACAAAGGCTGGGAGTATGCAAAGGCTGGGGGTTTGCAAAGGGCTGTCGGCTCTGGTTTCTGCAACAAGGTTGTTAATCTTTCTATGATGATAGGCAGCTCCCAGATGAGGAGGATGGGCTGCGTTTCCAGGTGAGCTCCCGGGTACCGAGTGCAGCTCCCAGCAGGTTAGAATGTGCCTCCTTTAATCAGAATAGAACAATCACGGGTAACAGAGCAGGATTAATATTTCTTACAATTATAGCTGGTCCCCAAATACTCTATTTCTGCCCCTATCATTGCTTCTTTGTTCTCATGTCTGTTTTGTTTTGCTGTTAAGGAATTGAAAGGGAATTATCCATCCAGACTTTACACAGGCCTTTTATTGGAGCTGTGAGCCCTCCTGGACTAACAACTGCTGACATGGCGCTTCTTCCCAGGTACCGTCTCCAGCTCAGCGGCGTGTGGCCACAGGCCCTGCAGGACCCACCTGAGCACTTCTGCGCCCTGGGCTCCCCTGTCTGCCGGCCTCTGTCCCTGGAGCCCATGGCGGCCCTGCTGCCCCCAGGTTGCTGCTGAAGGTGCGTTAACAGTGGAAAGGCCTCTTCACCTGCATCACTCAGAGCGGCCCTTCTGGTCTTCCCTCGAGAACTAGCATGTGCCTCCGTCCGCGGTGCCGTCCCGGGAGGACA